ACTTGGTATCAAAAAGCAGCTGGCATGAGAATAGTGATGGAATATTCGAAGTTGGCTATTGTTATGAAATGATAGCCGAGAAAGTTGTTGTAACTAAAGCTCTTGTTACCCAAATTCATTACTGAATCTTGTTGAAAAGTCTGAATAAAGTCTGTGAAGATTGGAACAAAAGGGTTAATGAATTCAAAAGAATAATCCGAGATAACTCTTAAGAGATAAAGGACCCATGCCTACCTGAGCCAGAAGAATTTCCACCATCTGATAAAAGAGGACGTAATCTTGGCTTTTGTTGTTAAAATGGAAAACATTTCGAAAAGGGAAAATTGAGTAATCAAATATCTGAGTGGTACTTAAAATGTATTAAAGAAATGGTATTATATCGAATCAAGCACATAAACATTGGTGAAAATAAGACTCTCCGATACTTACCCATGTATGAACCATGCATCTGTGTCTTCGATCCTGGTGGAAAATCATTTCTGTTATTTGACTTTGTCTCGTGAAACTTGATCATGAGTTGGGACGGAATGTGAGCAGTAGAATGGTGGTACTGGAAGCTTGTGATTGGTGATGGGTATGCCAATCACCTACCTTAAATGGGTTTCTCAGCAGTATACACTGTATTCACTATATATAATGTATCTTATACATCAGGTTAATAATGGGTATTAGTAGAATCAAGGGTATAATTAAAATAATTAGTATAAACATTATTATCAGTATAATTAGTATAAATGTTATAAGTAGTATAAACGATATATCACGAATTAAGTGTATAATATGTTCTATGTAAATGAAAGTATATAATGAAGGCTTCGAGTCCTCCCAAGAAGATGCAGAATTCGTGCTTATAATGAAGTTTGACCCTCATAATTCTCTGACCTTAGCTATCTTGTAAAACCTACGATCATAAACATACCACTCACCAAATCTAACTACCTCTTATTGACTAAGCCGTTCATAGATTATATGACATATCTGTTTGAGAAGCGACCGAAACACCAACATCGGTTCGATAGTGTCACTGGCAATATACACTGTATCCTCTATATTTAGTTGATAATGTGGGATACAGTGTATAATTATAATAATCAGTATAAACAATATAATTAGTATAATTAGTATAAACATTATAATTAGTATCAGTATATGTGGAAAATAAGTGCTATATTACGAAAAAGTATATAACGCACTTTATGTAAAAGAAAGTATATAATAAATGCTTCGAGCCCTATGAAGAAAAGGAAGAAAATCGTTCATGATAATAAATTTGTCTTCTTATACTTACACATTCCCTACTATATAAAATAAATACTTACATCCTGATCTACTGCTTAAGTGGCATAAGTAGTGTGATCGACTTTCTTATAGTCTTGCTCATGTGCTATCATAAAGTGTGCTGTTATCCTGTCTGGTTAATTCTCGACATACTGAGGACTACCATGATTGTTTCCAACTCTCTCAACATATTGTAAATAATTGTAGTTGTGATACTCCAGTTTGAGGTCCAAGAGAAAGGTTCCAGCCATTATTGTGATTATAGTGGATCATTAGTACAAGAGTTAGTAAGTCATATCAGTATAGAGACTTAAGACAAGTAGGAAGAAAGAAGACATACTTATGATATAACCCTACTCGCCAAATATAAACACCTTTTTCAACTAAGCTGATTCATAGATAACATGACATAACAGATTGAGGAGTGACTGACTCACCATTTTAACTGGTTAGCACTAAAAAATATTTGTAACACCATTATGTAAGATGCATATATATGTATGCATATTTATACCAGAGTTATAATTTGCATGTGATGCATAATGATAATGCACTTTTCCACTCGAAGTAACTTTCTGGATGTTATTTCAAAACAATTTCTATAATGTGAGCCCCAAAATCAGTCATATGTTATCATGATCACATGTAACTGATCATTAAAATTAGGTCCTGCCTCCTACCCAAGTAATTAGTCACATAAAAAGTAAGATTTATCTTACTTTTCTTACTTTTCTTACATTTATTACATTTACTACTTCAGGTAGATCAACTATATTGTTAGAGAGAAATCCGGTTAGAGTCATTGTGTAATAATTATTAAAAATGTGACTGAAAACATGACTAGAATTGCAAGCTGAATTGTGACCCAAACCAGTGATCATATAACCTGATTTCTCCCCATTGTATGCAAGAGAAGCTTCAAGATTCAGAACTAGTCATCTAGGATTGTAAGCCTGGGCTCCACATGTGACAATTACATTAATCTAAAAAGAAAGAAAGACTTAATAGAATTACCTCGATGTGCAACAAGGAAAAGTGTGATACTTACTTTTATAGGCTTACAACAGAGCCTTCAACTCACAAAAGACATTTTGGAAGATGTAGTTGTAGCTTTATCAGTAGGACCTACAAAATAGAGAAGGTAATTAAAAAATGAAATTATGAGTCAAAGGGTGAAATTGTACAATTAACAGGAAAAGAAAACATTAATGCAAAGAAAGAGAGAACGTTTCTAAGCATACTTTTCTAATAAATTCATTATAAAAGTTTTCTGTTCTGACATTAAGTAGGATATGACCTCCTGGCCCCCATACTCCTGTAAAGAAAAGAAAATTATTAATAAATTAATAATAAATAAAAGCAGTTATAAATATAAAAAGTGCAAAGATTGTAATACCAATAAATGTTTTTTTAAAAAGTCTTTACACTTACCCAGTAACTTGCTCGAAAGCCACCTTAGCCATTGCCAAATCATATTGCCTCATCTTGCTTTTGAGTAACATTATGCAATGTTGATGATTTTGAAGCAACAATTCATTACATTGACTTTATTTTTGATTGCTCCTATTTATATATGACAATTTGGTAGTAACTGTAAGATACGCATCTCTGAATAATAGTATAATAATGTTTTTACCTTCCTTTCTGATAGAAAAAAAAGAAAACAAATAAGAACTAAAAAGAAAGAAAGAAAGATAAAAAGTTAGTTTTAAGAAAAAATAAAAGAAAGGAATAGAAAAGGTTAAGTCATTCTGGCCAAAGTACTGTGTCTAAAAACGAAAAGAAAAGAGAACTTAGGAAATACTAACAGATTCTGAACTGTTTTGAGGAAACCTATCATTAGAGAAAGAAAAAAGAAAAGGAATTGAAATAGAAAAAGTTAAGTCACACAGGTCAAAGTATTGTGTCTAAAGAATAGAAAGAGAAATACTTAAGTTGTAATAGAAATAGGTTACCAGAATGCATTATAATAAAGAACAGAACAATAACCACCCTTATGATGATCACAATGAAAGAAGTCAAATGCCTGTAGAACTGTATCACCATATTCATGAAAACAACACTCATCCTCACCAAAACCCAGAGCCTATCCAAGCCATCTTGAAAGAAATTAACACTGCTTTTCAAGAAGCTATTGCTTGAGTTGCTACTGCTGCTTGCTTAGCAAAAAGAAAAACTAATCTGGTCTCTATAGAGATTTTTAAAAAAAGAGAGAAAGAAGATTCTCTCAAATAGATTGAAATCTTTGATCATGCTTCCATTGCCAACTATTGGTTCTTGAGAGAAAATCAAAATAGCCTTCAGTTATCTTCATAGTATTACTGCCAATTGGTACAACAGAGTAAAGAAAGACTTCGAATATTGGGATAATGAACATGCATCAGACATAAGCTTCATTCCTCTTTTTATATATTACTTTGTCTCTTCTGAATATTAACACAAATGGCAGACAGATCTTAACATCTTGGCCCAAAAAGAAAATAAACAGGTTGACATATATTTCTACAAATTTCAAAAACTTCTTTGGCATATTGATCCAAAAAATCAACTACCTCAATCATACATAGTGTATATGTTCTTAGGATGCTTAAAACCAAAAATTGCCTTATGGTTAAGTATTTCCAAACTTCCAACCTTAGAGCAAGTGGTAGAAGGGGTCCAGAAAATCAAAGCTAGAAAATATTATAATAAAAAAAAATATAAAAATAATAAAAGAAAACATTTAGAAAGTAATATAAATGATTTAAATAAGTGCATGCAAGCAATGACTACCAATTATAAGAAACTTATTATCATCCTTATTGCTTAAGTTGAAAATAATATGTCAAGATTCTGCTTTACCAATAGTAATAATAATAACAGTGCTGGCTTCTGGTTTACTTGCTACAACTGTGAAGAAGTTGGACACATAGCCCAAGAATATATAAATGAAAGAAGGAATTCAGCTCAAAGAACCCAAAACAACTCCTAATCTGAATCATGTCAAGACCATGAGATGTAAACTTTATTGGACTAGAAGAGAATAAAGGATACCCCCTAAAGTCGAAGTGGAAGTATTTGTGACCTCTAAAGCTCATTATCAACCATATCCATTAAAGAGAACCTGAAGCCATATTAAAACCTTAAAGTTGCAGATCAAATAAAGGCTAAGAAATAATTTACCAGCAGCTAAGGTCCCCTTACAAATCCTGTAAATGGAGGTTCTGACCTCATAACTCTTACTTCAGGCAATTTCACAATCCTGAGGCCTTATCGAAAAAAGAGTCCATCAGAGATTGATAAACTTGAACCCTATAACATGGCTTATGACCTTCTAAACCAAAAAGCAAATATCACTTATAGCCAAATGTTAAAGTACTCAAACTAATGGCAAAACCTAGCATTAGCTCTAAAAAGATTATTCTTCACAGAAGAAATCCCAACACCAACTCTTGAAATGATGAAGATGAATATTGTCCAAATGAAAAAAAATAGCCACCTGTGCTATGTAAGGATAAAAAATACTTCCATTATTGCTGTTCTCAACTTCAGTGCTGTAGTAAGTATAATGTCGAAAAGGACCATAGACAAGCTGAAGCTTCAGATCAATGAACCCTTTACAACCATTATTGTAACTACCAATAGAACCCAAATACAAGCCCTGAAAAGGATCAAAGATTGAAATTATTTCTTGCTAATGTAATAGTTCCTCTACCTTCTGTATTATCGAATTAACTAATAACATGTTTGCTCCTCGGTATGGACTGGTTCAAAGTGGTACATGTTCTTTACACTTTGATAAGTGAAAACTCTTTATTAATTACATAAGACAACTTGCTAAAATTCTGATTTCTCATGATAGAGATCCTCTTTCACTCAAATCTGATGACAGAGATGAATTTGAAGGAATGTTTAACAAATTTGAATATGAAGATGAGAACTTGGAAGAAGCTAAAGGTTATTTTACCAAAGAAGTCTCAAGTAATGAACTGTATAATATTCTTGGAGAGACTATTTTTCACTTAGCATTTACCTTGCCAATATCAAAGAACTTCTGATCAAAGAAAAAGACCCCAAGGAAGAATCCTAGAAGAAAAAATTAAACAAAACATTAATACCAAGAACCTATTTTCTAAACAACAAGAGGAAGCCTACACCTAACTTATTTATAAAAAAAGTGTCTTTGTGAAGGACATGAGTGACTTAGAGCAAATGAGTATATTAATTCACGAAATTGACACTAAACCTGCAGCTCCAATCAAGCAAATGCTATATGATGCCACCCTTAGCATTATAACTTTTATAAGAAAAAAAATTGAACAATTAAAGAAAAGAGGTTTAATTAAGAAATTAAAATGCTCTTAGACCTCCCCTATATAGTTGTCCTGAAAAAAAATAGCAAATTTTATCTGTGTGTAGACTGCCAAAAAGTAAATTTGGTGACAAAAAAGGATGTCTTTCTGCTTTCTCAAATAGATGATTTACTAAAAGTTTTTGAAAATACATCTTGGTTTTCTATTCTAGACCTGATGTTAGGCTATTGGCAAGTTTACATTAAAAAAGTTAACTAGAAAAAAACTGCATTTGCCATAAGCTTTGGATGTATGAATTTCAGGTTATGCCTTTTGGTTTGTGCAACACATCTGTTATATTTTAGTGTTTGCTGAATTATGTTCTAGCTGATTATATTGAAGAATTTGTTGTTATTTACTTAAATGACATTATTATTTATTCACAAATATTTGAAAATTACATAACCCACATTGACACTGTTTTTAGTAAATTAAAAAATATTAGTCTTAAATTAAATATAGATAAATGCTTCTTCTATAAGTCCTATCTGCAGTTTCTAGGTTATATAGTTGGCCATACTGGTATTCACTCTGATAACAGAAATGTAAAGAAAATTAAGAATTTTTCTGCACCCTGAACCCTCTGTCAACTCTGTGGTTTTATAGGTTTGGCCTCATATTACTGGAAGTTTATATCTAAGTTTACCTTCATCACCTACCCTCTCCATTACCTATTAAAAAAAGACATTAGTTATGAATAAAAACAAGAGCAGTAAGATGCATTCAGAAAATTAAAGAAATGTTTAATATCTGCTCCAATATTAGGACACCTGAATTTTGACAAAACTTTTATTATTCATGCTGATGCTTCTGGATCTGAATTGGATGCCTTTCTTACCCAAAAGAATGACTATAGGAAGGAATACATTATTATGTATGCTAGTCAAGAATTAACAAAAACTGAACATAATTACACCACTACTAAACTAGGATGCTTGGCTGTTTTATAGTCAATCAAGCACTTTTATCATTATTTTGGTCTTGACCTATTCATAATCATAAGTGACCATGCTACCTTAAAGTAGCTCCAAACTTTTGAACTTACAGACTGCAAAGCAAAGTGGATATTAAGGATGCAACTTTATAACTTTGAAATTATTTATCAAAAAGGCCAAAAACATACCAATGCAGATGCATTGTCATAAATTTCTAAAAACTTGGAAAAACTGTCATCCTAACCCTAAACAAGCCTAAAAAGAGAAAAGAAAAAGAAAGAATTAGTATGAGAATAATAAATAAAAAGGAAGTGACTATTTAAGAAAAAATAATAATAATAATAATAATCAATATAATAAAAAATAAAAAAATCTGGTTTGTTAAACAAATTCAGACCAGGTTACTGATGTCCTGGCAAAAGTAATCATAATGGATCTGACACATTATAACCATCTCTGCAGATATATTGAAACCAAATATCTGTCTTCAGTCCTTGATCAAAACTACCAACACTGATTCAAGAATAAAAGCCAATTTTTTAAAGTAAAAAAAGGGCTTTTATATAAAAAAAATAGAAGAAACCTAGGAAGGATATTATGAGTACTTTAAAAGCATTAAGTGAATCTTATTTTATATCTAATGCACATCTATCTATTGAGCAGACATTTCTATAAGGATATAATGTTCGAAAAAATTCAAGAACTCTATTTTTTGCCACAAATGTATGAAGAAATACATAAGTATGTCTAAAAATGTAACTTCTGCCAACAATAAACTTGACTCCAAAGCCAAGGCCCACTACACCTGATATCTGTTTTAGCTCTATTTCACAAGATTGGAATAGACTTTGTTGGTTCCCTCCCATGTACCCCAAGAATGAATTATTACATTCTTGTAGCTACTAATTTTATGACTTGATGGTCTAAAGCATAGGCCATTCTAAAAGCAGATGCTTAAGCCATTGTAGAGTTTTTGTATAATGATATCGTTTGTCACCACAGATGTTCTAACTGTATTTTATCTAATAAAGGAACTCATTTTAGAAACAAAGTTGTAAAAAGTTATTGAAAAAACTTGAAATTAAACAAATCTTCTTTACTCCATATCACCTCTGCACCAATGGTCTTGTTGAATATTTAATAAGACTCTTTGCAAGTGTATTAGAAAGTTAGTGAAAAATGTTACTAATTGAGACTTATTAATTTTCTTGATACTTTTCATTTATTGTACTACCTAAAATCTGACTACGAAAATGTCCATCTTCTTTCTTGTTTATGAATGAGAAGCCAGGCAACCTATCTACCTGAATCAAAGTGAAAGATTATTAGAAGGAACCATTGTACAAAGGGCTTTTGATCTACTCGATAAGATACCAGAAATCAGAAACCAAACTGTTAGAATAACTCATGAAAATCAAATAAAACAAAAGGCTTACTATGATCAACACCACCATTTGAGCCCTAAGTTGAAAATTGGTAACAAGGTCTGTTGAAATATGCTACAAAAAAATACACTCACAGTAAAAAATTCAACCCAAAGTATAAAGATTCATATTTTATTTATACTAAATTACCAAACGATGCCTATAAACTTCAGACAATAAAAGAAAGAGTGATTACTGCATCTTTTAACATGTGTCTATTAAAAAGAAATTACAAAAGTATGAACAAGAAACAATATATATAATAAATAAAGAAAAAAGAGACCTTATTTTAATATTTGATAATATAAAACATAGAGGCCATCTGGGTTACTCACCACAAGCAAGTTGGATATAGTCAGTTGTATCTACAGATGGTAGAGGCAACTGATGTACTGGGTCTCTGCAGGTCATAGCAAGCTCAGAAAGCAACTATAGAGCATAGAAGATGTAATGTACTAGACCTATACTTGTAAAATGTTTTTGATTTGTTAATGCATGTTTAAAGCCTATAACTGGCCATAAGATCTCATAAGGAATTACACAAATATGACTCTTGCTTCATATAATAACTAAAAAAAAAAAAAAAAACTTTTACTATCAATTCTTTCTTGAATGTTGGTTGCACATGATAGCTATATGCATGGTTGTGGGCATATAACAAAGAATGTAGTATTCTCATCACTTGAAGCATAGATGTGTTTTTGTATTTAACTAGAATTTTGTATTAGTTAGTTTTGTTTGTTGATCTTAGTTAGTTTTGTTCTTTTATATTATTTGGACTACCCTAAATCTGATTTTTTACATAGAAGTAAAAAACTAAGAAAGGAATAAATTGTTAGAGAGAAGTCCAGTTAGAGCTATTGTATAATAATTATCGAAAGTGTGACTGAAAATGTGACTAATCCAAACTAGATCATGACTCAAAATTAGTGATTATGTAATCTGATTTCTTCCCATTGTATGCAAGAGAAGCCTCAAGATTCAGAACAAGTTATTCATGATTGTAAGCCTAGGTCCTATATGTGATAATTATCCCTAACCTAAAAAGGAAGAAAGACTTAGTAGAATCACCATGATGTTTAACAAAGAAAAAGTATGATACTTACTTTCATTGACTTACAACAGAGCCTTCAATCTGCAAAAGACATTTTGGGAGATGCAGTTGTAGCTCTATCAGCAAGACCTACAAAATAGAGAAGGTAATTAAAAGACAGAATCATAAGTCAAAGGGTGGAATTGTACAATTAACAGGAAAAGAAAACATTAATGCAAAGAAATAGAAAAAATTCCTCAGCATACTTCTCTGATAAATTCATTATAAAAGCCCTTCATTCTGACATTAAGTGGAATATGACCCTCTGGCCCCCATACTCCAGTAAAGAAAATGAAATTTAATAATAAATAAAAGCAATTATAAACATATAAAGTGCAAAAAGTATAATACCAATAAACATTTTTTTAAAAAGTCCTTATACTTACTCAGTAACTTGCTTAAAAGCCACTTTAGCTATTGTCAAATCATACTGCCTTGTCTTGCTTTTGAGTAATGTCATACAACATTAACAATTTTGAAATAACAATTTGTTACATTGGCTTTATCTTTGATTACTCTTATTTACTTGTAACAATATATAGAGCATTTGGTTTTTTATTGGTATAATGAAAAAATAGTTTTTAAGAATGATATATTGTAATTAAATAATGTAGAGGAAATTATCTTTGAATGTAAATAAAAGTTTTATTATAAATAAAGGGCTTTCTACCCAAAAGAAAACAAGTAATAAGTATGGGTAATACCTCTAAGTAAATTTATTTTCGTCTAATAAACTTAAATATCAGACTTATATAGAAAGTAAAACTATAACTCAACCCAAACTAAAAACAATTATTAAAACCCATCATTGTTCCTATTGTTTGTTTATTTGATATTTACTAAACTGCATTTTGTTCATTTGCTATAAGTTACATGACCAAGCCATACAAGAGAAGAACTCTAACCTAATTTGATATTTCGTAACCCCAGGTTAAAGAAGTAAGAAAAGACAAAAAAAGGCAGGGGTTAATAGAAGAATAAGTTAAAAGAAGGACTTAAAAAGAAGAGAAGAATAGTACTTATCTATGGATAAACTGACCAGCCAAATCTAACATGTCTATTTTGACTTAGCCACTATAGATTACATGAGAGTTGGATTAGAGTAGCAATAGGCTTGCCAAATTCTGAATTATAATATATATAAATATTAATTTATTCAAATACAGACAATAATTTGATTTTAAAAATCTTTGCCTAAATTAATTTTTAGCTCTCTTTAAATTATTCCTCAAGGTAATATTTTGGTGCTTATTT